TGGACGGGGCTGTGAGCAACCTGATGTGGTTCAAGGTGTCCCTGCTCCTGCAGGAGGGTTGGGCTGGGTGACCCCTGGGGGTCCCTTCCCACCCAAAACATTCGATGATTCTATGTCCCTGCCCACGTCAGTACCCGCGCGGGCAGGTTCTGAGGGCTTTGCTGGTTGTGTTCCATGCCCGCCTGAATCCTTTCTCTGCAAGACTGAACAGGAATTGTTAAAGCACCCGGCAGCCCTCTAATGAGGGGTCTGAGGTGGCTGTGACGTGCGGAAAATGGCCTCCCCAATCTGTAAGACTGTACAGTAGGTATGGTTATTCAGTGCTGGGCAGCACGGGGGGGCAGTCCCACCAAAGTCGTGCGTGCGTGTGTGGTAGCTTGCCTTGAAGTGATACGACAAAGTGTTACATATACATAATATTCCCAAATACGCCTATACATATGCATGACTTGTCCCTGCTTTGTATTAAGATTAGCCCCAGGAAGTCATTTCCATAAACTCCTCCCCACGGCTTGCGCAGTGGGGGTCGCGGGGATCGTGGGGGGATGAAGGCCGATGACTCCTCTTCGTCACCGCCAGTAACCCCCTGTTCCGGCACAGACTCAGTCGCTCCTTGGCTCTTGTCCAGGCTGCAGGGTTGGTTTTAGCTGGTTCTCAAGGCACCTTCTTGGTTCTTATCAGGAACTTGTACAACAGACAACAGTGAGCACGTTTTAAGCAACATCTTCTCTACTGGGATCCCCGTTTCAGCCGGGGGCCACCGGTGCAGCCGTCGCTACCCTGGGCCGCCCCTTCTGCTCTGGTGAGACCTCACCTAGAGTACCGTGTCCAGCTCTGGAGCCCTCAGCACAAGAAGGACATGGACCTGTTGGAGCGGGGCCAGAGGAGGGCTACTAAAATGATCCGAGGGGCTACTAAAATGATCCGAGGGCTGGAGCCCCTCTGCTATGAGGCCAGGCTGGGAGAGTTGGGGGTGTTCAGCCTGGAGAAGAGGAGGCTGCGGGCAGAGCTGAGTGCGGCCGGTCAGGGCTTAAAGGGGGCCCAGAGGAAAGGGGGGGACAAGCTTTTTAGCAGGGCCAGCTGGGACAGGACAAAGGGGGATGGCTTTAAACTAAACCAGGGTAGGTTTAGACTGGATCTAAGGAAGAAATTCTTTACACTGAGGGTGGTGAAACCCTGGCAGGGGTTGCCCAGAGAGGGGGTGGAGGCCCCATCCCTGGGAACATTCCAGGCCAGGTTGGGCGGGGCTGTGAGCAACCTGATGTGGTTCAAGGTGTCCCTGCTCCTGCAGGGGGGTTGGGCTGGGTGACCCCTGGGGGTCCCTTCCCACCCAAACCATTCCATGATTCTATGATTCATGCGCCGCCCGGCCGCAAGCAGCCCCTTGCGCTCCGGCTGGTGCCCACAGTCGCTCCGCCTCGGTAGTAACGGGCTCTCC